GTGGTCCGTCTGGCCCCTTGGAAGATGGTCTTGTACGATGGAGTAGTCAGTTGTACTCAGGGTGGCCAGCTCTTGTGTTTACTCTCTTTCCTTCCTTGTCTCATTTTTTTCCTTCCATTACTGTTTCCTTTGGAGCTATTATCTCTAATAAAACTGTATATATAGCATATATATAGTTAGCATACAAACTAGCTAACTAGTAGTTAGCATATAAACTCTGCCTTCTGGAACCAAGGCTAAGACAACTTTCTTCTCATTTTGATATAGCATTCAGGCAATACCATTTTACTGAGAGACTTCATTTCTGACTTCACTTCATACTATGTAAATAGATTCTGTCTTTCAGGAGTATAATGTAAAACATTTATACTCACAGATCCTTAGATATCTGGAAAACTCTCCATTTCAGTAGTTCTACTGAGTTTTGCTTCAGTTTGAGCAGCACTTAATGTGTCAGAATTTGTGTACATGAACTTAATGACAGTTCTACTTATTCACCCCACCACGCCTGAGTAGCTAAATAGGAAACCAGGATGAACTATCATCTCAAGAAGGGACAGCAAACCAGTTTTGGTCTCTGGCTTCTCATCAATAGAACTGTGCAGGTTTGTGCCATGACAACACCTCCATTACTCGGGTCAAGCTGTTAGCTACTGCATCAGTTTTGCATAAGCTTGCCTGTGTAATGGGCTTAAGAACAGTACCTAGCTGGAATATATGTGTAAAAAACTCTCCAAAAGAGAATGAATAAGGTAATTTCTTGGGGGGAGGAAATATGTTCATTAGGGTAGAGTTGAGAAGGTATGTAATGTAGAAAAGAGACAGATATAAAATTTATACACAGTCCTTTGAACAGAGAGTGGGGAGACTCTCAAAATGGTACTCTGAACTGATCTAGTCTGGGGAAATGATAAATGCTTGCTCCATCTTGGCCTCTTTCATGAGCTAGGTAGGATATTACCGAACACTTTCTTTGGAGTGTTTATATGGCTCATGTCCTGGCTGAACGGTGTTGAGCTTCCTCTCTCTTCAGGAGACTTGTTGCTGTACCAAAAATGGATGTGCTTTCAGACTTAATGATTGGTGTGGACATTTCTTCTTTTACTTACTCACTGTTCCTCCCATTTCTTATAGTAGCAAGACAGACTTTTCTTTGGGGAACCATTCCTGACTCAACTCTCTGTCTAGTTTAGATGGGGCTGGTTGTCCTTCTTTTCCTCCCTCCAGTTTCAGGATTTCAGAGGATTCAGCTGATTAGTATACCTGTGCTCCTCAGCCACATGGCTGGCTTAGGAATGGGCACCTGACTCCATGTGGACCAATGAGGAATAGGTTCAGGATTTTTACTGGAACTGTTGGGGAAAAGAAACTCTCTTCCCACTGGTCTGGAGCTAAAAGGCTCATCCTGGAGTTACTGGTGGCCATCAGGACAAAAGACTATGTGAGCATGAAATCCATGTGAAGGGAATTTGTATGGACAGAAATCTGCACAGAGATGAAAAGAGGCACATCCTGAGGTACTGAGTACCCAGATCCTGCCACACCTGAAGCTATCGCACTCTTGGATTTTTCACATATTATGGACAATAAATTCCCATTAGGCTTTTTTTTTTTTTTTTTGTCACCCATCACAGCATGAGTCCTAACACGTGAGCCATATATTGATAGCTGGTATCAGTGTAATTTCATTAATATTAATAATGTTTTTGGACATTCTGAGATAAAAAGATGAATGCAGTCTTTTAGCTGTAAAAACTTCCCTCTTCCCTCCTCACCCCATTTCTGCGGCCCCTTCCAAAGCGAGTATCTCCCTATCCCCTCATGCCTTCCTCTCAAGAAAACTTGTGTATTTTAGTAGATGTTTATGGAACAAATGTCATTACATCTCTGTTTTCCTTCTTTTGGAAGCAGCAAGATGAGACGAGCAGGTAACCCTGTGCCTACGTAGAAAATAATAATATTTAAAGAAAGAGGCAGAAAAGTATATCCGTTATAAGCTTTTCTTTTTTGTTTCTTTTTTAGAATTGTAGCTTATGAGTTTATCTATGCCTGCTATAGTTGTAATTACAATTTAATATCTGCATACAAAAGCTATGTAAAAATCCATTTTTCCCAAATATACAAATTTTCTTTTCGGATAGTTTAAAACATTTTGATCACAGATTTCAATAGAATTTTAGGCTGAAAAAAATATTACCAATCTAGCAATATCACTTAATACCATTTGCAAAACACAAATCTTCTGATGACTGTAAATCTTTCCCTGTTCTGCTGTCTTTTTCTGATTCTCAGGGCATGAAAACATCATGGGGGAATAACGGTATTTTCTCCAAAGAAAGCCTTCATAACTAATTTGGCTCTATAATCAAATAAAAAATGCCAATTAGGAAGAACCAAAAGAGGGGAGTGGCATAATGTCAGCTCCTTCATGCCCTGCTAGTGTCTGTGTCAGCAAGTTGCCAGTCATCTAAGGGTCTTCCTTTGTCGTGCATTGTGCTCCATAACATACTGTCTGCATCCTGAGGAGGACAGATTTATATCTGATTGTCTTGTGCATAAGGTGGGTCAGCTTTAACTGTGCAACAGAAAGCCACAAACAGCATTTTACCTGCACGATATTGCTCCTGAAGGCGGCATTAATGAATGTAGAAACACACTAGAAATGCACACGCTTTGCATTTGCAAACATTTGTACAGCACAGTAAAAATTCTGTGATAAGGCCAAACCTTTTTTCCCTAGTCTGTTTTTATGTCTCTGTGTGTGTGTTTTTAAAGTTGTTTTTTTTTTTTTTAAAGATTAAAGTAAAGTGTTTCAATTGTAAAAAATACACACCGGGCAAATGCTTACCTGGATAATAAATATCTACATCACAGTACAATAAAATTTCTCCTCTATAAAATTTAAATATGGATTATAGTCTATCACTATCAAAAGAAACACTATGCTAATATTTCCTTATTATTAAAATAACAGGAAAAATGACGAGCTTATTTTGGAACCTGACGCGGTAGCCGTCGGAAAGGGCAGAGATTCAAATGTCTGTGAAGCACTCTCCTTCTGAAGAGGAATGGTGGCCTGGTGCTGATTCACCTCAACTCAGTTTGTGAAAAAGGTTTAGCCTTACAAATGCTGGCTACGTTTCAAAAACCATAAGACCAGTTTCAGCTTGTATGACTCATGCAGTCAAAGGTCAACATGACACGAATGGGTTAGAGTTCCATAGAGTGAAAATGCATCACGGACAGTGACATGCTTCGAGGGCGTCTGCAGTTCACGGAGGCTGAGTCCGCAGCGGCACCGACCCTGCTGTGGGCGGAGGAGGCGTCTCTCGGGCTGAGGCGGCAACACGGCGCGGCTGTCCTTGAGGACCGAGGCTCACGGGACGAGGAAAGCGCGGAGGCGGCACGTGGTGTTTTGAGCAGAATCATAGAGAAGAAAAGAGCTTACTTTTTTCACTATTTCTACCAACACGGCACATCTAGTTGAAGAGTGAAGTACACTTGAGGGCCACACACACACACACACACACACACACACAGGACACCACTCACCCCCAAATTTAAGTGATTTATAAATAGATATCCCAGCTGTAGGGTGTGTTCTCTTCTGGGACGTCTCCCCACTGAGCAAGGTTTCAGTCAGTCCACATTTGATTTGAAAGTCTGGACGACGTAAGAAAAAATGTAAAAGAAAAAAAAAATGCAGAGCAAGCCCCTCCTAATCGAGTTTTACGGGATGGAGTCTCGAGATGCAGTAAGTACCTCAGACAATTACAGAAGGAACGAGGCACCGTGACCACCGGGGTCGCGAATCTTTCGCTCTCGACAGCCTTTCCTTCACCCGGAAGTCCTCGAGGCTTAGTCTACGCAGCAGGAAGTAGTCAGCCTTCGACAAGATTTTGAGAACAGCAGTTTGCCTGCTTAAGGCTACCATGTAGGAGGCCAAGGATCAAACACACATTCAGTCGGGGCTGGCCGGGTTGCTGTAGATCTGCTGAACCATTCGGCCAGTGGCCAATCATGTTAATCCCTAAGGCCTTCCGAGGGGTCTTTATCTCAGGCTCTGCACTTCACTGAATCGGGGGATGTCTGATGCCCTGGGGAATCTCAACGCGTCAGGAGACCTTCCTGAGGAGCCTACTGCCTGAGGAGTCTATGAGCCTCCGGGACCTGCCTGCTCGCCTTGCTCGCCTTCCCTTCCAAGGGAAAACCTGCCCCACCCGGAAAAGCTTCTCAGAGTTACCCTGGAGCAGAGAAGGTGATTAAACGCTTTTTTGTTTCAAAGAGCAGTTATCCAAAGAGAGTCAACAGAGGAAGCTGAGATGGTAACAAAGTGAGGGCCAGAGGAGACTGGCTAGAGACTGCCTGGGGAAAACAAAACCACAGAACTGTCTGTAGGACAGGGAGGCCTGGCCTGCTGCAGTCCATGGGGGCCATAAAGAGTCCGACAGGACTGAGCAACTGAACTGAACTGAGGGAAGTCAAAGCAGGTAAGCTGCCCATGAACTTCATGTTGATAATTTTATCCTCTTCACCTATTTCCTTTCTCTGGGTAGTAAGTTCCAGTGCACCACTCTTGGTTTCTTTCCCTGGAAGCCTGTGTAATTGCTTTAGCACATCAAACACATGATTTTCCTCCCGGATTATTTCTGGTCACTCTCGGGATTTTTAATTCCACTCCTCTCCTTCTCCCAAATCTACCCTGCCTTTCTCTAAATAACTGACATGTCATATATCAGCTTCCTATTTTGAATCAACACCAAATACATTTTCCTTAGTTGTCAGGAGAGCCATCATTTCTAATAAAGTTAGAAGTTAGAATGTGAAAGAAACCATCAAAAGAACTTGATTCCCTCACCCCTTAAAATTACTACAGTATTAAGGACAGGAAGGATTTTTTAGTTCATGACTCAAGGTCACAAATCTACCATTCAACAGCACAAACTAGAACTCAGGCACCCCAACTTCTGGGCCAGTTAAAAAAGAATGAATCCACATGATTTTTAGGCAAGTTTCACGGATATGGCTTATTTTCCCAAACACTTCCAGGATAAGGCAGTACAAGGCAGGCAGAGGAATAGTTTATGTCTACCATGACGGTGAAGAGTGAGATACATTCAGTTTCATGGGTATATTCTGTGCCCATCTTCTGACGTTGAAGCGACCAGGGGCATCATGCTTTCTGGGCACACAGTACTCCAGCGTCGGTCACTGGGGAGGTGGGTTGGGCAGGGAAGGTGAGTGAGGGTTTGTGTGCGTGGTCTGCAGCTGTTTTCTGCTGAGTATCTGTCGGGGCAATGCTATCAGAGGGACAGAGAGAGTCAGTGGCTGGAGCAGGCTTTGGTGGTAGTCAAGCCTCAGAACCAGAGAGAAAAGGAGATTAGGAAACACTTGTGAGTAGAGCAAAGAGCCTGAGGATCCAAGAGCAGAAGGGAGGAACCTCAGCATCAGGGTGTGAGGAGGCTCTGAGGCACTGCATTTCCTTCAACATAGAACGTGACATCACTAGTCTCTCCCCAGAACAAGACTCAAACATTTCAGCTTGTTACCGCTCCTTGACTGGAAGGTCAATCCACAGGGAAATCTGTTGTCGGCTCGGAAGAGATGCAAACAGGTTGAATGACTTGAGGACTTTGAGAGATGAAGGGTCAGATGTCACTGAACAGTGACATCACTCTGTAAGTAGGTTTGATTTTTGTGGGAGTTTCCTCTGAGCAGTAAGAAGCCTTCTTACTATGAAGTGATACTATGGAAATTTTTGGAAACCACTGAGTCACTGATATCTGTGAAGATTTTGAATTTCTTTGGGCTCACTTAAGGAAATTGTTTTCCTTGTTGGCCTCAATCAGTCAAACACCTGCACATCATTGAGTCACACCCTTGTATAACTCAAATTAAATCACAGGATTATGAAAATTACAGTGAAAGGACAGCTAATTTGGGGGAAACAAATATCCTTATATATTCCAGGTTAGGCTGCGAGGAGAGAACAGAGTGCTGAAAACAGCGTGTTCTTGAATAGATAGCAATTTGTTCAGAACTTTCCCTAGGAAGCTGAAAGCCACATTTCATCAGAGGCTGTCTGTGCTGTGCTAATTGGAGCCCTGCAAAAACCAGGATTGGATCAAGATGACCACATTGTCTTGGTTTTAAGTCTTCTTTAGTTTCCTGCTTCGCCATTTTGCTTGCTCGAGTTGCTGACCAGGGACAGATGGGAGCTGGTGACGGCTTGGTGCTGGTGAATTAATGATTGTCCCCACCCCGCCTCCACAACTGTAAAACCTCCAAAGCATATTCACATCAAAGGACTGGAGAACAAAATGCAATAGTTAGCAAGTACCTGCATTCAAGGGGCAATTTCATCCATGTCTATGCCAAGGACTACCTCCCTTTACCCCCAAACAATCCCTCCCAACACAAAGAAATAAAGGAACAAACAAAAAAGAGCTAGGCAATGGAATGAAATGACACCCAGTAGTGCTGTTGGAATTATGAGAATGAGTCAGTCGGTCTAATCCTCAAACACTTCCAAGAACAACGGGGGAAAGAGTTCCGTGGGGCATTCCACCTTCATGTGCAGGAAGCGGCTGGCATGGCAGGCTCCGATCATCCGCAGGTCTGTCACCTTCATCAGGAGTTTTGGCCAAAAGTGAGTCACGTGGTGTTTTCGGTAATTGATATAGTGTTCAAAGGCCAGCAGGAAACTATCTTGGTATTTTTCTATTCTCTCAACACAGGCAAGCCCTGGGCGATCTGAGAGAGAAGAAAGAAGGATGTTAATTTGGAGGCAGAAATGAAAAGGCTTGTCTGGTCCACTTCAAGTCCTTTAGTGTGAAGTGGGCCAATCTGGGGACTTTTGATTCTTAGGAATGGGCATGGATGCAGTATGAACTCTGGGGCATCAGGGACCAAGATCCCAGGGAGTGGAGTAACTTGCATGAAGGGCATCAAGGCTTTGTTCAGATAAATGTCTCTGGCTTACACAAATCACCTCCTTGGGTGTGAAGGGTGATGCCTCCCTCCTAGGGTACAGAAGGAGAAACCTCACCTAGAGAACTGAAATACTCTGCATAATGAGGAGGGATTCTGACAAGCATGGACTTACAGAGAAGATAGAGATGTGAAAAAAGATTTGGAGGATATCAGGCAGCCTGGATGCAAAGGAGGAACCTCTGATGGGAAGAAACTGGTGAAGACAAAGCAGCACAATATCCAATTTTAATTGTTCACTTGTCTTCAGTGAGCCACTCCTTCCCTTCCCTTATACCTTTGATTGCTCCTGTAGCAGCCCTGTGTTGGTGGTGTCTTGGGAAATTATAGTGAAAAGGGGATGTGAACAATGCTAGTATCATCCTGTGTAGAGAAGAGAAGAGTCATAGTGGGAAGATGGAGCTGGGGGAGATCATGACCATGTACAGCCCAGAAAAATCTTCCCAAGTCTTGGAAAACCACTGGTCTTCCCACAATATATAGGAGAGGACTCAAGGCAGTTTCAAAAAAAATGATAAAAGGATGTCAAGAGAAGGCTGGATGGTTGGGGAATATCTAGGCTATGAGGACTTGGGTTGCAAAAGTGGATACAGTGGGAATATATCTCAACATAATAAAAGCTATATATGACAAGTCCACAGCTAAGAGCATACTAAATAGTGAAAAGCTGAAAGCTTTTCTTACGACGGAGAACAAGACAAGGATGCCTACTCTTGCTGCTTGTATTTAGCATAGTCCTATGGAGTCCTATAGAGAGCAATTAGGCAAGAAAAAGAAAGAAAAGGCATCCAGGTTGGAAAGGAAAAAGTAAAACTGTCACTATTTGCTGAGAACGTTCCCAAGTGCATCAAAGAGAATCAAATACCTAGGGACTAATTCAACTAATGACGTGAAAGACTTATACACTGAAAAATAAGACATTGATGAAGGAAACTGAAGAAAACACAGTAAGTGGAAAGATATGCTGTGCTCATGGACTGGAAGAATTAATATTGTTATAAAGTTCATACTACTCAAAGCAATCTGTGGATTCAGTGCAATCCCTATCAAAATTTCAATGGCATTTTTCACAGAACTAGAATAAACAATGCTAAAGTTTGTATTTTCAGCCATAAAAGACCCTGAATAGCCAAAGGAATCTTGAGAAAAGAAAGTGGAGCTGGAGGTATCACATTCTCTGATTTAAAATTATATTACAAAGTTATAGCAATCAAAACAGTATTGTGCTGGCATAAAACAGATACATAGATGAATGGAAATGCAAATCAAAACCTCAATTAGATATCACCTCACACCTGTTAGAAAGGCTATCATCAAAAAGAAAAGAAGTAACAAGAGAACCCTTGGGCACTATTTTTGGGAATATAAGTTGGTACAGCCACTGTGGGAAACAGTACGGAGATTCCTTAAAAAATCAAAATAGAACTACCACATGACCCAACAATCCCACTTCTGGTTATTTATCTGAAGAAAACTAGACCGCTACATCAAAAACATACCTTCACCCCCCTGTTCTCTGAAGCATTATTATAATAGTTAAGGTATGGAAACACCCTAAGTGTCCACTGATGGATGAATGGATAAAGAAGCCGTCAGCCCCTGCCACCCCACCCCCCACTTCCTGGCATACTATTTAGTTATAAAGAATGAACTCTTGCCATTTGCAACAACATGGATGGACCTTGAGGGTATTATGCTAAGTGAATAAGTCAGAGAAAGACAAATACTACATGATCTCACCTATAGGTAGAATCTCAAAAACAAAAACAAACAAAACCCCAGCAAGCTCATACGCATAGCAGATTGGTATGGAGATTGGTATGGTATCAGAGGCTGGGAGTGGGGGTGGGTGAAATGGGTGAACGGAGTCAAAGGGTACAGACTTCCAGTTATAAAACAAGTAAGTCATGCAGATGTAATGAACAGCATGGTGACTAGCTAATAATACTGTATTACATATTTGAAACTTGCTAAGAGAATAAATCTTAAAAGTCCTAACAAGAAAAAAATGTGCAACTATATATGGGGAGAGATGTTGGCTATATATTGTGATGATCATTTAAAAATAATATACAGATAGCCAATCATTATGTTGTATACCTGAAACTAATGCAATGTTAAGTTGTATCTTAATAAAAAATAAAAGAAATTTGTAGACCTGAATGAATTCCTCATACAACGCTAGGGAGCCCTACCACCCCCCTTCCGAGTTCTCCTGTTTGTGGCTTTGATCAAATAAATACATTCATGCTTCAAATGTCTAGTTATTGAAATATCTGTGTCAGTAAAACTCTAGAGTTCTACTTAATTTGAAAGAAAGAATCAGGGTTAATGTCTCAGTCCACCCTTCTGACTTTAGACAAAATATCCTGGTTTTGGCCTCGGCCATCCAGCTCAGATTGCAATTTGTGCATTTTAATTTTGTGATTTCCTTCATATTTGATGTTGCTGCTCTGTGACTCTCCCCATCTTCTCTCTCTGAATGTGCCAGATAAATTCTCCACAGGATCATTTAACTTTTGATCCAAACAGAAAGCCAACATGATATTGCTCTGTACTTACTCAGTTTTTTTTTTTTTCTTTTATAGGACACTGAAGGCCAAAGACACTAGAAGCTTTGCTCAGGGTCACACAGGGAGTCCTTAGGTAAGTTACATGTTTTATTTATTTTAAGGATAATAACTCTTGAAAGTCCCTTGGACCGCAAGGAGATCCAACCAGTCCATCCTAACGGAAATCAGTCCTGAATACTCATTGGAAGGACTGATGCTGAAGCTGAAGTGCCAATACTTTGGCCACCTGATGCGAAGAACTGACTCATCTGAAAAGACCCTGAAACTGGGAAAGACTGAGGGCAGGAGAAGGGGATGACAGAGGATAAGATGGTTGGATGGCTCAGTGACTCAACGGACGAGTCTGACTAAGCTTAGGGAGTTGGTGATGGACAGGGAGGCCTTGCGTGCTGCAGTCCATGGGGTCGCAAAGAGTCAGACACGACTGAGCGACTGAACTGACAGTGAAGTCTGCTGGCAGGGAGCGCCCCGGCCTTGACCTGGTTGTCTGCTGGAGGCAGCCTTGCTTCCTGCTTCCTGGAAGCGGCTTCCTGTCCTGTGAGCAAGTCGGCTCCCAAGAGGGGCTGGAGTGTCACAGAGCACAAGGCAGTCACGGGGCAAACGCGGAGCTCCCCGGATGCTACCGGGGCAGCCGTGGGCTCCCGACAGGAGGGGACTGCACGTGGCGTGGGCATCGGGAGGGCAGGACACTTGCTTCCTGCTTCCTGGAAGCGGCTTCCTGTCCTGTGAGCAAGTCGGCTCCCAAGAGGGGCTGGAGTGTCACAGAGCACAAGGCAGTCATGGGGCAAACGCGGAGCTCCCCGGATGCTACCGGGGCAGCCGTGGGCTCCCGACAGGAGGGGACTGCACGTGGCGTGGGCATCGGGAGGGCAGGACGCGGAAGGCCGCGCTAGACCGAGCCTGCCCACCGCACCGGAGGCGGGGCTGGGGGACCCCACCGCCGTGGGTGCAGTGCAGAGCACGCGGACCCAGAAGGGAGCCAACCGCCCCGAGGCAGCCAGGGGGTGTCTGTGGAGGGGAGCCGCTTCACCGAGCCTTGGCAGAGGAGCTCCGGGGGCTCCTGGCACAACAGGAGGAGCCGGCAGACGCCCCCTCTCAGCTCCCTGGCTGTCCGCAAAGCCCCGCCCGCCGCTGGGGGGCAGCGGGATGCGAACCGGAAGCTCCCCGGGTGCTCTGAACGCGCGCCGCGGCTGATCCGGACACACTCACCTGAAGACATCAGCAGGACGGCCTGAAGGAGAGCGACCTCAGTGTCGTCCAGGTTGAAAGAGGACAGCGACATCCCCAGGTCGAAGATGGCGTCGGACACCACCCCGAGGCCCCCGTTTTTCAGCTGGCCGCGCGTCACCGCCATCTCCCCGTTCAGGGTCAGAGTCTCACTCTCCGGGTCGTAGCGCACGGCTGCACGGAGGGACATGATCTCCATGCAACAGCCTTTGAGGAGGATGATCTGGTCTTCACATGGCAGCTGGAAAGAAGCAGCCCACGTCAGCAGGAGCGAGGGCACAGACGTCTGCTAGGACCTGCCAAGGGCGCCGGGAGCAACCCCTGCCCCGCCTGCTCGGCTGCAGACTCCCACAACCACTCCGCAGACTCCAAGCCTGGGCTTCCCAGGGGCACTCGTGGTAAAAAGTCTGCCTGCCAATGCAGGAGATATGGGTTCGATCCCTGGGTCATGAAGATCCCCCGGAGGAGGGCATGGCAACCCAGTCCAGTGTTCTTGCCTGGAGAATCCCTGTGGACAGAGGAGCCCAGTGGGCTACAGTCCATGGGGTCACAGAGAGTCTGTGCTGAGTCAGACACAGCTGGAGCGACTGAGCACTCACACTGTTCATAATCTTCACCAGTTTGTTTTTGGCTGCACTGCATGGCGTATGAGATCTTAGGTCCCTGCCCCGGGATTGAACCCACACCCCCTGCATTGCAAGTGCAACCACCCCAGAACCCAGGTCTCCCATGCTGCAGGCAGATGCCTGACTGTCTGAGCTGCCAGGGAAGCCCAGGAATCCTGGAACAGCCAGCAACTGAGACCTCCCTAAATGTACTGCCATTTTGGTCCAGTAGCTCTAAGAACCGAGGCCACTGTTAGCTGGCAACTGCGCTGCTCTGTTTTTTGAAGCACATTTGCTCCTTGAATCTCTTAAAAGGCAGAGGACTAGAAGGTCTCTTACAGACACATGTGACCTCTGAGGCCCGGAGATGTCATAACTTTGCTCAGAGTCAACCAGTGGATCAGAGGCAGAGGTGAGCCCAGAATCTGGACCTCCTGGCTCCTAGGGTTATTATGTTCTCAGAATCTCCAGCATCAGAATTACTGCACACACTGGATCTCTTTTCCAGTGTTGTAATCTCATTTTAAACTCATCTGGGTGTCCTGTTAGGATTTGTGATAATGTGATAACATTATTGTCACCCTGCTTATTTAACTTATATGCAGAGTACATCATGCCAAATGCCGGGCTGGATGAAGCACAAGCTGGAATCAACATTGCCAGGAAAATATCAATAACCTCAGATACGCAGATGACACCACCCTCATGGCAGAAAGCAAAGAAGAACTAAAGAGCCTCTACATGAAAGTGAAAGAAGAGAGTGAAAAAGTTGGCTTAAAACTCAACATTCGGAAAACTAAAACATTTCTGCAGCAGAGGACACTCAAGAAAGTTAAAAGACAACCTGAAGAATGGAAGAAAATATTTGCAAATCATATATGTGAAAANGGCAGAGGAAGACATGGTTGGATGGCATCACCAACTTGATAGACATGAGTTTGAGCAAGCTCCATCAGTTGATGATGGACAGGGAAGCCTGGTGTATTGCAGTCCATGGGGTCACAAATAGTTGGACATGACTGAGCAACTGAACTGAACTGAACTGATAACATTAATAATAAACTTAAAAAAAATTAGAGTTTGATTTTCTGGAGGGGGAGAATGTTTAATTAAATTCTATTATCAAAGTAGTTTGAAACACTATTAGTTAATGGGTGTTTTTGATGAATTGGGCTAAGATTGACATGCACCGCTTTGTTTAACATTTGCAACAATGCAGTGAGGTAAATATTCTAATTCCAATTTTATTGACAGGTGTGGAAATCACGACTCTGAGAGATTGAGAGACATGCTAGGGGGTCCCTGAGTGTGGGTGAGGAGAGAGTTGGAAGCCAGCTCTGTCAGAATCCAAGGTCAAGGGAAAAGGAGAGCTCACTCTCTGAAGGGATTTGGGTGTAAGTTTCTGTAAACAATGAATATGAAATGACACATAATTTCTATCTTTTCATTAAAGCAGGTTCTGATTCTTTTTTGAGAAATGATCTTGGCAACACAACTACTTCAATTCAGGGGACTATATATGACAAAGCAGTACTACGGAATTACCTTTAAAATACAGAGTATTTCATATATATATATATATATGTATATATATATATTTGTTTTTTACTAACTCAGCCTACCTGCCTTACTGTTAAATTTCAAATTGCTCTGCTTTTTCTCTAGAGTAAAAGGCACTTTGTGTTTGGTTCTGGAATCCATTCATGTGAATTCTCCCCTCTACTCATTAAGCAAAACGACTGTGATTTGCTTTTATTTAGTTTCTGATTTGTGCTCCTCAATTACATCTTGGATTCCTGGCCTCAGGGCCTGGTAGGGAACAGGAGATGGGAACTTGGCTAGCGCCTCCACAGTCAAGCGGACAGCTGGCTGGAGTGGGCGAACGCCAGCTTCACTGCCGAGGGCAGAGGTCCTGTCTGCAGCCCCATCACTGACACCAAGGGCTTGATAAACACACATCACTGGCCTCACCTCTGAGGGTCTGCATGTGCCCAAGTTCCCAGGTGATGCCCACGCACCTGGTTCAGGGACCCACTCGAGAACCGTGGACACAGAGTAGCAAAGAGAAATGACTAGTCTGATAAAAACATTGATTTTAGTTGTTTTTAGCTGTCACAGAGTACATAGACTTGGGCAGGCCCCATCTTTATAGCCAAGTCTGATGATAGATGAAGTAGAAGTTTTCTTTTGAAAACTTCCTATTGGTGAGTTCACACGTAAATAAAAGCAGAATAAAGATTTGTCAGGGATCTCCAGCGGTTTTAAAGCTAGGCCAGATGCCTTTCTTTAAAGAGGGGTTTAGGCTGAGGTTTGTTACCCCTGTGGGCAGACAGTCTCTAAGTCACCTAAGAGCCCTCCACTGTGGGGAGGCCCCCCCCGGGGGGGGGGTGCCCACAGACCCGCCTGCCCACCGCGGGCGCGGCGCTCCATCGGCTGGCGGGAGTGCCCGGGCCCTGCGCTCAAGAACCGGTTCTGATGCGTGCTCTTGGCAGCTCTGCCAGCAGCCATTTCAGAGCTTTTGAAGCCCTTGGTTGGTGGGCTGGCACGGGTCTCAGCAGGAAGTTACCCTGAGTGCGATTTGAACAGCAGGTGGATCAAACTGCCCCTGGCAGAAGCTTCTGGTTCTGGAGACCACCTGGGATCCGGAGCCCACTCCAGAGGTAGCTCACGGCCTGCGCCGTTCACTGCTCTCTTTGGGGTTCCAAAGAGTGTCAAAAGGGACTTCACCGGTGGCTCAGTGGTTAAGACTCTGCACTTCCAATACAGAGGGCATGGGTTTGATCCCTGGTGGGGAACTAAGATCCCACATGCCACACGGCGCCACCAAAAGATTTTTTAAAAAAGATAGTGTCAAAGGGTAAAGGTCCCCAGGAGGCCACAAGAACCACAGTATCACTGCTGTCAAAATAGCCTCCGCCCACTTACTTTCAATTCGGAGACTACAAAATAGCAAGGTTGAAAGAGAGATGGAATCACGACTTCCCTCCCGAGGGAAGCTTGAAGGGAGAAGCTTGCCACACGCGGGCCTGGGAAGGTCCGGCTGGCTCTCACCCTTGCCAAGGACACAGCGCATGCGGTCTTTGCTGCTGGTGGTGGCCATGGCTTCTTTTCTCTCATTCACTACACAGCGCTCAGTGGCTGGTGGCCTTAAGCTTCACATTTTCTAGAAAACTTTTTTGGTGGGTATTCCAAGGGGAACATAGGACTGATAGGCTAGCTCGCTTCATAGGAGTAGCCAACTCCAGTTTTTCCTCAGACACCAAGGATGGAGAAAAGAGGACACAGCTCAGAAACAGAGAACTAACAGAGGTTCGGGAAAACAGATTCAACCCAGCGCCCAAAACAAGAGCTGACACCTTGAGTGAGAGGAAACGCGTCCTTGGCACAGAGGGGACTGGAGACGCACTTTCTAGAGGGCAATTAGGCAACGCATAGAAAGTCCTCAAAGGAGCAGCCTAGGTCCTTAAATTCCACTTCTTGGATTTGCCCCAGGAAACAGGCAGTTTTGTGAACAGGGCATAGGTACCAGAATGCTCATTGCAGAATATTTATATTATTGAAAAATCAGATATGCACTAAAGATCCTGTAAAAGCAGATAACCTAAATCATGGGAGATCTGTTCTTTAGAGTGGGCCTTCCCAGGTGGCTCAGTGGTAAAGAACCCACCTGCCAATGCAGGAGATGCAAGACACGTGGGTTTAATCCCTGGGTTGGGAAGATCCCCTGGAGGAGGAAATGGCAACCCACTGCAGTGTTCTTGCTTGGAGAATCCCAGGCGGGATTTTACTCCCTGCCCAGGGCCCAAACCTATGCCCCCTGCAGGGGACATGCCGAGTCTCACCACTGGACTGCCAGGGACGCCCCCCCCCGCCGACCACCATCTCCCTCATTCTTGAGGATGAAGAAAATAGCACAAACCGACCTGCTGGGATACAAAGCGGAAATAATGTAGACAGAGACGCGGGGAACGGCGGCCCCATGCCAAATGGGGAGACTCCATCTCTTTGATCTTAATTTTCCCCATCTATAAAGTGGGCTTAACAAAAGCTATGCTGCCAATCTGTTAGAGGGACTGGATTTCATGAGGCAGACTTCAGCATGGCGACCAGGACATCACAATGCTGGCCGAGGGGAGGTGAGACTGTCGTGTCTCCTGGGCCTGGAGGCGGGCAGTGGAGAGGCCCCTCCTCAGCCTCACGGGGATGAGCTGACGGATGATGACGACAGAGGAGGTGGGGAAACACGCGGGACAGTGCCTGTCATTTTGTGCTGCCGCGGCTTTCACGTGACTTTTCTTAAGTCCCAACCAATCAGTATTAAATTACACGTAACACTCAGGAGCTCAATGGGACTAATCATGCATACGAACAAAAAAGGAAAAGCAATCTCCTCACCTCACAAAACATAGGCAACTTTTTGGCAAAATCCACCACTCTGGTAATTGCTGGTGTGATGATTTTTGTAAAATGGCTGAAGGCTTCCAAGTCGACCTTTCCACCTTCCGGGGCGTTTACTATTGGTGCCTGTCCGATGTCTTCGGGCTGAGGAGGAGAGACAAGGAGGATTTAAGTGAAGACACCAAACAGGTCACGGATCACGGTTCTCGCATGGCAGGAAATCGCTCCTGAACTGACATATACTGTACGATTTCCACGTCGTTCAGTGAGAGACCATACAGTTTCCAAGACCTTGAATTCTCTGAGCAAAGATATATGTTCCTGGCTATCGCTTTCAAAGGCCCGCAGTGATCACGGTCACAGGGTGGTTGCTGTAGGAAGACACAGTGAGAGAGAGACGGAGGGAGGAGAAACAAGAGTCCGGCTCTGTTTCCGAGTGCGCGAAGGGGACCTGTGTCCGCGGCTTGGGTGCCCTTTTCGGAGCAGGGCGCACCCTGTGCGTGTCCTCCTGTGGGCGGTGGGCACGGCCTGGGCAGGGAGGGGGAGCCCCGCACACAGGACCCGGGGATTCGCTCGGGTCCCAGTCTGCCCTCTAGAGGCCAGCCGGAGGGGCCTCGGTGGGCGGGGGACGCTGTCTGTCAGGGGTCGCTCCGGGGCCTGGGCCTGGGCGCAGGGCAGGCTCGAGGGCAGAGTGCAGAATCCACTAGCAGTCTTCTCTGCGCTCGTTTGCAACCACCCATTGCCTTGCTGCTCAAAGGGGAGGGGGTGGTCAGCAGCGAGGCCGTCACCTGGGACCTGCTGGAAACGCAGACTGCCCGGCCCCCCCTTGCTGCAGAAGCATCGGGTGAGCGGTGCCAGTCCCAGGCCCGGTGCCAACGCCAGGCCGTGCGTGGCCTGGGCCCTCTAGCTCCTCAGCCTGGACCGAGACAGGCTCTCCCTGTATCTCCTGTGGTCACCGGTGCTCCCTGTCAGCAACAGTCCTCCCTGCTGCCCTTGCGATGGTAATGACCGCCTCGGGTGGTCCTCACCCAACCCCTGGCGGACAGGCGAGCGAAGGAGTGCCCAGGGAGGTTAAGGACGGTCCCGAGGCCAGGACTGGTCCCTGCTCTTCCAGGAGGCTGTGCCTGGGGTCAGAGGGGCCGACACTGCCTGACGGCGGCGCCCTCAGCCCGGAGTCACAGTGGACTATGTTTTGGGGCAACTGTCGTTACAGCAAGCCCGCGGAAGCTGCTGGCTCTCCGGACACAGACAGAATTGATGAGATAATCACAGGTAAGGCTTTTCTCTCTCCCCCGTCTCTGTCTCTCTCATAGACTGAGTTAAGGGAAAAGGACTTCCCTAATGGCAGAAAGTGAAGAGGGACTAAGAGTCTTTTGATGAGGGTGAAAAAGGAGAGTGAAAAAGCTGGCTTAAAACTCAACATTCAGAAGACGAGGATCATGGCATCCGGTCCTGTCACTTTATGGCAAAGAGATGGGGAAAAAATGGAAAGAGTTACAGACTTTATTTTCTTGGGCTCCAAAATCACTGTGGATGGTGACTGCAACCATGAAATTAAAAGATACTTGCTCCTTGGAAGAAAAGCTACGACAAAACTAGATTGTGTATTAAAAATCAGAGACATCACTTTGCTGACAAAGGTCCATATGGTCAAAGCTGTGGTGTTTCCAGTAGTCATGTATGGATGTGAAAGTTGGACCATAAAGAAGGTTCAGTGCTTTAGAATTGATGTTTTTGAATTGTGGTGCTAGAGGAGGCTCTTCAGAGTCCCCTGGATGGCAAGGAGCTCAAACCAGTCCATCCTAAAGGAAATCAGTCCTGAATACTCATTGGAAGGACTGATGCTGAAGCTGAAACTCCAATACTTTGGCCACCTGATGCGAAGAGCTGACTCACTGGAAAAGACCCTGATGCTGGGAAAGATTGAAGGCAGGAGGAGAAGGGGACAACAGAGGATGAGATGGCTGGATGGCATCACCGACTCAATGGATATGAGTTTGAGTAAACTCTGGGAGAGAGTGAAGGACAGGGAAGCCTGGCATGCTGCAGTCCATGGGGTTGCAAAGAGTTGGACACGACTGAGTGACTGAACAACAAGGGAAAAGGTACATCAGAAAGTCTGGGGGTAATTCTTCTAAAACACAAGGCAGTCTGGCATCCTTCAGATCTCCTTGCTGGTCTCTCTAATCCCTGCCACTCCAAAATGTGGCCCGGCTCACCTGTGTGTCTACTTTATAACTCTCTCATGAAGATCAACTAATAAAAGGAACATGGTCACACAGTAAAAACGTAGAGAGTTGTATACACACACACACACAAGGTGATCTTTTTAAGAAATAAAAGTAAAAGTATTATTTTAATAACATAGTTTTGGCCTGGTTGACTCCAAACATCTTCTCACTGAACATTGATAGATCTAATTTAATTGTATTGAATTGTCTTCAGTGTCTTTTGAAATGTCAGTGGCTAAATACTAATGTTAATAATTTCCATTTAATCTGTGAATCTATGGGGTATTTGAACTACCATCTGTGATAGCTCTAGAGGTTTGAAAAATAGGAGGGAAATTGTATAAGGAAATATGATAATTTTAACTAAAATTAAATGCCTAAGTGTAACAACCTCATGAGCTTTTCTGTTGACAAATAGTGGAGTAGAAAAAAATTTTATCTTTAAGCTTTTGGATATTTAATGGAAAACACAATTGCTAGAAGTAAAACCATATACAAAGTAAAAGCCTTCTATTATATCATTAAACTTTATATCCAAAATAGATCTTGGATACTAGAAAAAAGAATATATGAATTGACCTGAGTTAAAGCATCACATATAAGAAATTAAAGTTGACAATGCAACCTTGTTTGTGACTTCCCTGAAGATTTTTTACCCATAAGGACAACATATTATTTGCTAAAATATTTGGAAGATGTTAAAAATAGAATACAAATAGTTGGCACACTTGAATCTACTGGGGATCTTCTTCCGGCAAGTAGCCTGTAGTCCACGCAGTGAACACATTTGCTCACATACACGTGTGTGCTTTTTCACATGAGATCAAACTCAGAGGCTGAGGATAGGTCCCTGGCATGCAGACTCAGCAGTGGAGACTCGGGGAGCAGGCCTTTTGCGTCTGTGGATCAAAGTGCCTGAGCTGTTTCACGGGGGGTGGGCAGGGGCCCTAACGGACCCCTGGAGCCAGCCCCATCCACCTCTTCCCAGTTCTTCCCCAATTTGCCTTGTGCTTTTCCACTCCAGTATTCTTGGGCTTCCCTGGAGGCTCAGACAGTAAAGAATCCGCCTGCAATGTGGGAGACCTGGGTTTGATCCCTGGGTTGGGAAGATCCCCTGGAGAAGGGAAAGGCAACCCACTCCAACATTCTGGCCTGGAGAATTCCGTAGACTGGATAGTCCATGGGGTCGCAAAGAGTTGGACACGACTGAGCGACTTTCACTTTACTTTGCTTTTCCTTACGGGGCTGCCTCCTCACCGCCCCGAGACTTTTGCTTTTTCTTTAAAGTCTTCACTTCAGTCTCACCTCTGCCAATTCCAACTCGCACTTCTCTCTGAAGCCTTCCCAGATGGCCTCAGTGGGAGACGGTGTCCACTTCATTTGAATGCACAAGGTGGCCCAGGTAAGCACTCATCAGGCGTCGAGGCATTGTTACTTTTATTGTAGTTACGAAAAGTGAAAGCATTAGCCTCTCAGTCGTGTCTGACTCTGCAGCCCCATGGACTGTAGCTCGTCAGGCTCCTCGGTCCACGGAATTCCAGGCAAGAACACTGGAGTGGGTTGCCATTCCCTTCTCCGGGGAACTGTAGTTTCACAGGTATACACCTAAGACAAGAACTTCTCAAGACGGGGGAATGTGCCTTGAAGATCTTCGTCTCCTGTGTAGAAGGCACTGGGCCAAGCGGTGAGGACTGGCGGAGGGAGTCCATGGATGGGTGTTCACACGTCCTCAGCCACTATTTATTGTGCGGCTACTACGGGCTCAGGCTTTGTTCCACACTGAGGCTACAGAAACAGTATGTCCTCAAAGAACGTGCATATGGCGACGGGTGACGGACAGTAAGTGAAATGAATGCTCTCAAGAAAGAATGCTGATTTGTGATAAGACTGGAGGTGACCTAATAATACACGCGCTTGGGAGGTCAGGTGACCAGCCAGGCCCCTTTGAGATGTCATGTGTGAGCTTTATCTTGAAGAACGGCAAGAAGGCAGGCTTCCACAGACGCAGAGGACACTGAAGGCAGAGGGTAAACCCACTGCACAGCCCCAAGGTCAGAGAGGAGGCCCATGCGGTAGGCCCAGACATGGCATGTGATACAGGATGGGAGGCAGGCCCTCAGAGGCCATGGAGAAGAGATGGGCGAACTTTAAACGGAGTGGAGCACCATTGAAGAGATTTAAACAGGAGAGCAGCCAGGACAAGATTGACGGTTACTACACGGGGAAGGGATGCAGGAGCCAAAGGAAGAGATGGGAAAACCGCAGCGGTGGTTTGGGCAAGAGGGGAAGTGGGCTGGACCACAGGGGTGGCAGCGGAGATGGAGAAAGGGCAGAGATGGAGGCCTCTCTAGGGAGCCAAGGGCAGGGGCTCTTGGCTGAGGGACTGGAGGAGGTGAAGGCTGATGAGGAGCCCAGCAGCTCTCCTCTGGGCAGTTGGGGGGGGTGCATAGAAGGAGAAATTCAGGGGTGTGTGCAGACGTGGGCTTTGACCCCAGCTCAGCACTAGAGGAGGCTGGTATGACACAAACTGAGACGGACCGAGGTTTTCTGCTTTGGCATCGGAATCGTTCAAGGGAGTAGGAAATACTCTGGCTGACCTCTTTGCAAGTGGCTGTCTTGAAGCTAAGGAATTCTTGGCTTGGGTCTCTGGCACAAGCAGAGGGGATGGGCAGACGGGACCCTTCTATCCCTCTGAGTGATCACAGGGTGTCTCCCCTCACCTTTGTGGTGGGGTTGTTGTTATTCAGTCGCTCACTCACGTCCTTTGCGACCCCATGGGCCGCAGCTCACCAGGCCTCCCTGTCCATCACCAACTCCCGGAGCTTGCTCAAACTCATGTCCATTGAGTCTGTGATGCCATCCAGCCATCTCATCCTCTGCTGCCCCCTTCTCCTTTTGCCTTCAATCTTTCCCAGCATCAGGGTCTTTTGTAGTGGGGGGAAGGGAACAAATGGCAATTGAAGGTCTCTGGGCCTTGGGACATTACTACCCAACGGCTCCCTTCTCCTGGGATGAGCAGGGGACAGGACGGTGAGAGTGGTGGTGCGTGGATGATGCGCTGGGTAACCCCGTAGGGGGTTGTTAATGACACGCCAAGATCTCATGACGATTACTTTTATATCACTGATAACAGCACCAAAGCAGCCGAGCCTCAGACAGGAAGTAACTTACCCAAAGTCAGAGCAAGCAGTAAACTCGGGCTGCCCGGCTCCAGTCTCTACACGCAAGCACTCGGCAGCGCTGCCTTCTTCCGATGTAACTGTGATCATTTTGAGTGACAGCGGCCTTCCTGGCTTGCTGCATTTGTCTTGTGACCTGTCTACTCAGACCACACATGGCCAAACCCCCCATCCTGCCTCATCTTTTCTGAGACAATTCCCATCGAGAATGTGACGTCAGACAGTAGCTCTGCCAGGGGAAAAGCAGGGCAGGCCTGCCCTGGTTCTGATGGTCACATTTTATACCGGGTGGAAAATCCACCCAAAGCCATACCTTCGCATGTGAACTAAGGGAGCAGAGAAACAATGAGAGAGGCTGGGGCCTGGGATGCTTGGCTGCCGTGGTTGCACCTGGACACACCTTTTCTCCAGCAACAAAATAAAAAAGAAACCATCAGGGACTAAAACTAACTGTGTGCATGCATAGTTGGGGCAAATTCTGGACAACAAGATACACAAAGACCAAAAAACCACTTCTGAAGAGCCAGGAGCAAAAGCAGGATACTACGCATGCCCCCTGCACTCACCACCACCAAAGGGGCGGGCAGACAACCTAAGACACCCTGCAGTCTGACCCTTGGACTCACCCCTCCTCTCACCCTGTATAAGAAACCAGCTTGCCCCACTCCCCTCGGGTAGTGAGCAAGCAGGAGAAACCATCCCACTGCAGCTGCAGGAGCCCAGATAAAGCCTCACCCGAATTGCTTGTCTGGCCCCTGATCAATTTCTATTGATTGAGGAAGACCAGAAACCCTGGTAGAAGTAACACAATGTTCAGCAGACAGTACCGTTCCTGGCAGGGGTTTACTTTGAGCCAATGTCTCCCATGCCGGGCAGGTGCAGATGTGAGTGCCTTGGTGGAAACCTTGCTTCCCCTTGTCTGGCACAAGCTTCTTGTCTGTGTCTCAGTCCACATCTACTTGTCATCATCACTGTCATCACACAGGGACTGGCGCTTCTGTACCTCCAGAGATTTGAGGGGATTGGAGTATGACTTAAATGCTTTTGGAAATAGTTGTAAAGAGTGGTTTTAAAATCACTGAAAATCTGCAAGGCTTTTGCAAAAGTTCCTTTACTTGCCCAAGACACAGACACACTGATTTGAACCCCAGGTCAAACCACCAATCTCTGTTTATGACTTGAGTCCTGGTCTTAAGGTTAAAAAAGGATGAAGAAACTCCTTTCAGGCAGTAAGTTACTTACCCATTCCCGATAAATGGATACTTCTAGCTTTCATGGCAACATATAATTTATAATCCCTTATGACACTGCTCCACTATTATTAACAATAATAGGCCTCCTCAAATATTTTTCCAGACAAGATGGGCCATCATCACATAAAAATAAATGAAATAATATATGTAGTGGTGTTGTACGCAAAAAAAAAGTGGTATTGGCCACACAGGAGATCCAAGTCCTCACATATAGAAGCCAGTTCTGTACATGGATTCTTATGAAGCAAAGCTGTCTTTAATGAAGGATTTTTAATGACTTTGCAGGAATAATTCACTACCCCCAAGAGTCACTTTTAATCCTGAGCATAAATACTCAGTCACAACCACCCAGCTGCAGGGAGCATGTGCAAGTGTGTCCAGTGGCTGAGACACCAGGCTTAGCTGTGCTGTCTCTGAGGGTGGATCCATGGAACTCGATGGTGCATTTCACAGATATTTATTGGGCTCAGTTCTGGTTATCTACTGCTGCATAACAGACTCTCCCCAGACTTGAAACAACACTTTCTCATTTAAAACAATACATTTTCACTGTCTCTCAGAGTTCTGGGTGGTTCTGCAGGGGTCCCTCATGAAACAGCAGCAGAGACTGGTATCATCAGCAGGTGACTCCAGTCACACCGCTGGTGCCTGGCCGGGTTGGCAGTCTCTCCACATGGCTGCCTGGGCTTCCTCCCAGCATGGCGGTCTCAAGGTAGCAGGACTCTTACTCTTTTAGTTTGTCACGGCAGTTGGCTTCCCTCAGAGAGACCACGTGGCAATCCTCTCCAAAATAACCAACTGGAAACTGCAAGCCTTCTTACGACCCAGCCTTAAGAGTCACTCTGCCCAAATCCATCGCTTCAAGGAATCACAGCCCAGCCCAGATTCAAGTGGAGAGGGGACTAGATTCTACCACTCCATGGTGAAGAAAGGGAGGAAAGAATTGATTGGCAGTCACCTTAGAGAGAAGCTACCATAAGCTTCAACCACACATGTGACAGATAGTGAAGGTGACAAAACTGAATGGAATTCTGTCCTTTGCCCAAGGAGATCCGGGGCGGCCGGGGGGCAGAAGGGAACTGGCTGACAGAAACAACAATCACTGTCGAGACAGACGGGATGACGGAGGCGTTCTGTCTCCCCCGGCATCCCTCTAGGAAAAAACATCCTGGAGAAAGAGTTCTTTGCTTTTGGACCAACAGGGACAGTTCCTTGAATGTATCAAGGATCTAAAAAATATACATTTCATGTCAGCTCCATGACGGGTGGGGAGACAGGTGGGTAAAGCAGTGGCTCTGTAAACATCAACTTCCTGAACAAAACCTTGTGCCTGGGTAACCTTACAGCCCTGAAGAAATTCTACTGGCAGATCATCCTGTGCAATGCCTTCCCCAGTTCTTTCTCTAGATGATCAAGAGAAGCATTAGGAGGCTTTGAGTTAAAGGTACAGACATGGCTGTTTTAATAACTAAAAATCATGCTATCTTGGCTGAAGACTTGGGCCAAAAGACCCAAGTTGGCTGTTTGGCCACTTTATGCTAGTGTGATCCTCAGGTGGGGCACTGGAAAGGCCTGGGGCTTGGTTTGCATACCTGTAAAACAAGGATGGTGATTCCAGCCAACCTAACCCAAAGTGTTGTGAACTCCAAGGAAGTAATGGATAGGAAGGACTTTCACAATGGCTAGTTTTCGTTCGTTTGTTTTTTGACATGGACCATTTTTAAAGTCTTTATTGAATTTGTTACAATTTTCCTTCCAGTTTATGTTTCGATGTTCTGGCCACAAGGCATGTGGGATCCCAGCTCCCTGACCAGGGACTGAACTGCACCCCCCTGCATTGAAAGCCCAAGTGCTAACTCCTGGACCACCATAAAACGGTTAGTTTTATAAAAATGTCAAACATGGATATTCCAAGGGTCTGGCAAGGCCTGGTTTCTTTACACTCCCCTCCCCCATCCCGACTCCATTTCCCATCGTCCCCCTGGACCTGACAGCATTTATTTTAAACTCAACATTTTGACTTCCATTGATGTAAAAATACATTCGATATATGGGTCACATCTTTCTAGCGGTGATTCTAAACGGGATTTTGGAGTGAGTTTAGGGGATGAAGTATGCATACAAATGGGCATCTGAGGGAAGACCTGAGAGAAAAAAGGGAGAGCTGGCAGGTAAAGAATTTTGCTAATCTGCTGACCCAGGGCTGGCGTACCTCACAGTAGAAGCAAAGAGCTAACTGCCTTAGAACTCAGTAACTCAGACGTTGGCTCTGCGCTCCCAGCAGTAACAGGCGGGAGGACACCAGCATTCCGGGTTCTGCGCACCCAGCACTCAGAGGTGAAGCGGAAGCGGAAGTGGAAGGGACGGGGTCTTACCAGGAACTTCCGCTTCTGCTTCCAGTGGCTGCCCTGGGCGTTGGTGGCCACGTGGGCCTCGGTGACGGTCTTGATGAGCTCCCATTCCTGGTCAGTGGGCTCTGGCTTGTGCCCCATGGATTTCTGCAGCTCCTCCCTCCGCCTCTTCTCCCGGTTCTCTTCGATGAGCTTCCTCTTGGCCAGACGCTTGCTGTCGTCCAGGACCACTGCGGGGGGAGAGGGACACAGAGCAGACACTCTGCAGACAGCTGGCAGACCCGCAGGGGCTCGCGCGGCTCAGAAGAGGTCACCTCGAGTCCTTTCTCCTTCGGCGGCACACTGCCACCGGCTAGCCATTGTCCACCATAAGCCCCGGCACTGACTTCCCAAAGCCTAGCCAGCTTTCCAAAACGAAGTGGGGTGGGGGAGACACACTTGGACACTGGGCATCTTAGCTCCACAGGGGTGACCCTAAATAAGGGTCACCTTATTTAGAATGAAGCAGAGACAGGTGAAGCCCATCCCACCTAGAGGGTCATAAGTGGCTTTGTCTAGCCAGTCATCTGAATTCACTCTTGAGGTGTCTGTTCCTCCCCTCAGCCCTAACCTCCCCAAACGGCTGAAGTAAGGACTTCAGGTTAAAGAAAATCTGGAGCAGTGAACAGAGGCTGATATCCCTTTCTCAGAGGGAAAAGAAGTCTTCCTTTTCATTTGTTTCCTCAAGGCTGATTGGAGTGGCCAGGAGCTTAGCTAGGCCAAGCTCAGCCCTCATAGATACTTTCTTTGCATTGCTCTATACCTGGTCAACCCTCAAAGTGATTAAAGAGCCCAGGCTTTGGAATCTAGAAAGACTGGGGCTTGAATCCTGAGACTACCACATTCTAGCTGTGTGACCTCTGGCAGCTTGCTGAGGCTCTCTGAGCTTTCGTTTCTTCCAGTATAAAATGGGATCAATAAAATCTACTTTGCAGGGTATCAGTATGATGATGCAGGGCACGTGCTCAGTAAACAGAGCCGTGAATTGTATCATTTATCGGTGGTCCCCAACCTTTCTGGCACCAGGGACTTATTTTGTGGGAGACACTGTCTTTTTCCCATGGATTGCAGGTTGGGGGTGATTTGGGGATGATTCACACCCATTGCATTTATTGTGCATATCATTTCTAATCTAACACCACTGCTGACCTGATAGGCTCAAGGGCCAGAGGTTGAGGACCCCTGATACGCAAAAGGGAAATCAGAAGTACAGGTAAGAACAACCTATACTTCTGTGGTTAATTTCCAAAAGGAAACCATTCACCAGACTCTTAGTAGCTCTCAGTGGCACGGAAAGACTCAGGGTTCATACTACAGAGTCGTAGCGTTTTACCACTGCTGGATCTCAACTCAGATCTAGTCCAACTCCCTCTTTCACAGAGAAGGAAGAAGGCGATCATGACTTCCCAAAAGTCACAGAACAAGTTCATGGCGGGGCCATAGTAAGACCCAGGACCTGCGACTGCAATCCTAGAACATCATTGTCCTAGGGCCATTTCCTGAGGAAGGTGTGACCTGCTAGGAAAAGAAAAATTAAAACAAAACAAAAAAAAGCAGGCATAGCCAAGGAAGAGAACCAAAAGTATCTGGTGAATCCATAAACAGAGAATGAGACCCAGATCATGGGAGACGTGGTTGGATCTTTAAAGTGAGGGGGGCACTGAGAAATGTGGGCAAGCTGGGTGAGCCCTGTGAAGTCAGCATGGTTCACCCATTAAAAGGAGGCAAGGAGACGGCTGTGCTCATAACCCCACTCCCCAAATGCTTCTTTGGTGTCAGAGATCATGGCAAATTGGACATGCATTATTCTAATTGAATCCTAAGATCAGTGATAATTTCACACAAGGGAAACCTGAAATTAAGTCCAGTGGGCACACAGTTAGTAAGTGGCAGACCTGGGAATCCAGCAGTTTTTCTGATTATAAAACCTGAGCTCTTATAATGAATGACTCACACGCAAGCAAGCTGCACTCAAAATGAATTTCCACCAAGTGTGGATTAACACTGAGTTTTTAAAGCTCATCAACTTTTGCATCTTTAACTTTCAGTAAAACATTGCAATGGACATTCAGCAGGTCCCTCCTCTCCACAGGACCTTAGCAGACATTTTGTTGGCAACCGGTAAAAGCCTTTCAGAGACAAAGAACTCAGCCAGAGGTGAGGATTAACCCATGGCTTCCAGCCTCACGCCCTGACACAACACTCCTCCTTTTTTTTCTATATAGAAGATTCCCCTCCTGTCTTCTTTAATGGGCAAACCAAGGATGTTTCAGAGATTTCTGTTGTTGTTCTTAGAGGACTCTGTTTATCACATAAATGCGGCTGTGACTATTTCCTCTTCACGAGGTCCTCACTGCATTCTTTTTTCTTTCCTCTTTTCTTTAAAAGTTGAAATCCTTCACCGATGTGCAAAAAATTTGTGCCAGAAGAAACTAGTAACCCAGATACCTAGCAAAAGGGAGGGCACACGTTCTGAATGGCATGATTCTTATTTCATGATTAGATTAATTAAAGTGACTGGTGTAAATCCCTTGCACAGTGTGGGGAGGAGACCCCGACGGCTAATCTCACTGCCATATGCTGTGGCACTTTGAAAACTGGGGAGGATGACTTCAGCTTGGAATGTTTTTATGGGCTAAAAATATAACAACAACAACAACAAACCAACTGCGGGATGAGTCATGAGATAGGACTCAGGTTCACATTCTTCAGAAATTTCTGAACACGATGTTTTCTGCCAGTGCCCCGACTCCAAAAATGCCCACAAAATAAACTCCTGTCTCTGCTTTTGAAAAAAATGGAGAGAATTAGTCCATGCGGTTCTGACCACATGAATGCTGTGTGGAAAATTACACCTCATCAAGGGGGGGGACAAGACCCCTCGTCTGTAACCTCTGTGCAAACGGAGTGTGGCTGCCCGCCCTGCACGCGTGACGGGGACAGGTTAACCTCTGTCCCTCAGCCGTCATCCGGATGCCTCTGGAGTCAGGAGCTGATGGGGAAGGTAGGATGGAAACCGACCAGCCATGGATGGGAGTGAGGGTCCCTGAAAGGGCTGGGTGCTTGCCCGCTGTCCACAAGCATTCCTGCTTTCTTTCCTGCCTGGTTGTTGTCCTTGAGCCACCCTTTTCCCCAGTCAACACTCCCTGAATATGAAGCAAAGGAAGCAAATTGTTACTTACAATCTGTTGCCATGCCAACGTAGATGCATTTTTTAAAGCGACATTCCTGGCACTGATTTCTTGTAACTTTGTCTATGACACACTTTCCTTCATATTTACAGGAATAGGATGGATGGAGATTTTTCTGAATGGTTCTTCTAAAGAAACCCTACATGAAAAAGAAAGACCCAAGACAGCCGTTTCAGATTGTCTAGAAATAAAGGACCTCCAGCATTTTGCATCTTCCTAACCATGTGGCTGGTTTTGGACCTCACCTGTGTCAGTACAGGGCAGCTGACCCACAGTGAATCTAAGAAGTTCTCAGTCTGAGGAGAGGGAGAGGTCAGAAGCTGTGGAGTCGTCATCCTTTTGGCATTTACTCAAAGCTAACGGGAAAATTGGTGTTCACGCTTATGTTTTCCAAACAATGAGTCATATAAATCAGTTATATGATTTCATTTCATAGAATGCCACAGTGTGAAAGTCTCTCAATCATGTCTGTCTTCTTTGCCACCACAGGGGCTGTAGCCCACCAGGCTCCTCTGTCCATGGGGATTCTCCAGGCAAGAATACTGGAGTGGGCTGCCATGTCTTCCTGCAGGGAATCTTCTCAACCTGGGGACTAAACTTGGGTTTCCTACCTTGCTGGCAGATTCTTTACTGTCTGAGCCAAGCTTTGAAGAGGTTTGCTCTTTATACAGGAGAATAAAAGGGCTAGATACTTGTGATGCTCTGTTAATTAGTAATGTAATCACTTAGTATTTAAATGCATGCATTAACTGCCTTTAGAGATTTAGTTTAATTCTGGTTTTCGACGCTTGAGATGGCCGTGATAAGCTCAGATAGCCCTTAAAACAACAGTCATTGGGGAGGAGAAAATTCCAAATTCTTTACCAAATTTTCCCCAAAACTCATGGCATTGGAGTTTTCCTTCCCTAGCATCCTGTTTATCCAGAGTTTGTAGACACATGCCCTAAAGTTCAATGCTTCTTCCTTTCTCAAGGCACAGGAGAGGGCCACCTGCGGATAGAATGAGGTTCCAGCCTAGGTGACTTATGTAACACCCTCAAGGCGGTGTCGCATGAGAAACCTTTCTGGACATGGTACTCAAGTCATGATGGCAGAAAGCACTCCTTGTGAGTGGCGCATTGCAGAGTGCTGCAGACAAGTACCTCTGTCTCTCCCACAGCCTTCTGAGGTTGGTACTCTTAATATCTCCACGGCAGGGATTAAAAAACTAAGCCTCAGACAGGTTAAATCACTTGCCCCAAATCACATGGCAAGTACACGCTGGAACTGGAACCTGGGAATTGGACTGCAAATCTCACTTATTTAACTGCTTATACGATATAAACTTAGTCCAGTTTTACTGTATTATTTAAATGTTTTAAATGAACATATTATAAACAGTCCCTTCTCATCCATTCTCAAAAAACCACATCGTTTTATGTTTTAGTATACACTAGCAAGGCACAACAGGTTTTAAAGGAAGTTGCCTGTTAAAGCTTAAAGGAACCTCCAACTTGGTTGCATAAATTGGACTTAGATGCCAGCTGATCTACTGAAAGTTGCTCAGTCGTGTCCGACTCTTTGTGACTGCACGGACTATCCAGTCCGTGGAACTCTCCAGCTCAGAATACTGGACTGGGCAGCCTTTCCCCTCTCCAGGGGATCTTCCCAGCCCAGGGTTCGAACCCAGGTCTCCCGCATTGCAGGCGGATTCTTTACCAGCTGAGCCACCAGGAGTAAGCTCAAATTGTAATTATCCCATTTAACCGGCCCTGGCTCTGATGATGTACATATGCCATTTGCATATTCCTCACTCAGACTCAGGAGCTCTTCTTTACGAGGAAAGGGTCTGAGGAAGGATCTTACACTGAGCAAAGCAGAATAACGCAGAGGACTGACAGACTGAGGCTCAGGCACTCCGTGTCAAGGTATGCGTGCTCATCCCTGGTCACTTCTACGACTCAAGTCCTAACAGAAGAGCTGTCGTATTATATTTGGCTCTGCATCCTTAAACGCTGAGCCCATTAGTTTGAATGACGTTGACGAACTGTCGTAAGACTCCCTAAAGCACACGCGGGGCAGCAGCTGACGTGTTTCCTGGGTGTCCAAGGTGGGCCGTCCTGCCCGACTTGGACGTCAGAGCCTGCAGAGAGTGGAAACAAACTTCCCCAAGATCCTTTTTAAGGCTCAGGCTTCCCCTGAGGCATGATAGAAGCAAATTTTGACACATAATGAAGGAACACTTCATTTGAGTAAATGTCCAAGATGGTAGGTTCCTTAATTTTAAAAAGGGAGAAACATCAACTTTTGTGAGTGAACTTGGATAGAAAATATTTACTTATTAAAAAAAATCTCTTTGAGACGAAAGAGATGTCTCAGGGACAGAGTAAGGACGTATCTTTCACTGGTGAGTTACTGGTGAGCGGAGGTTTCATTTTTATAAATTGACATTAGACATGTTTCTCTGCATTTTGAGAAGAAATGAATCCATTTCTTAGTGGTCCAGAATGATGCCATAATCAGCGCTAAAGTGATTTATTATGGGAACATAAACTTTCTTTCTACAAAAGATGCATGAAAACTGCCCTATCCTAACAGATGAAACATCTGATCCGGAAGATTTCCACTGTCTTCAGGGCAAAAACAGGCAGAAAAGAGTCCCTCTACACGCTGCAGAATTACAGGTTTGAATAAACAAGATGTAAAGTGCAACTTTTTTCATTTTTGGCCACTTTTAAAAGCCCTGTTTCATTTGAACATCTCTTTTGCTTTTTTCCCAAGATGCTCTGTCCTTATATTAAATGATCTGTGTAATTGCCCTTGGGTTTCCCAGATGACATAAGAGGCAAGGGTTTGAACCCTGGGTTGGGAAGATCCCCTGGAGAAGGGCATGGCGATCCACTCCAGAATTCTTGCTTGGAAAATTCCATGGATAGAGGAGCCCAGTGGGCTGCAGTCCATGGGGTCACAAAGATTCGGGCACAATTGAGCGACTAAACGGCAAACAGCAGCAGTGAGCATTAAGTCCTCTGTAAGGTACATTTGGTTTTTAGAGTCCCTTTGGGAACTGAATATAAATGGAATTTTCATTAGAGTTGCCCCTAGAATTAAAAATTTGTCATTAAAAACTGCTTTGAGAGAATCTCAACACTGAATAATCAGGTAAGTAAAATCCTTCTTAATTGGGGCTAATTTAGAAAAAAGACCCATTTGAATCGCTGAGCTTTTGGAATGAGGGAAAGCATCTACAGAAATGGTTTTATCAGTTTCAAACCACACCCATAAAATTGGCCTTTCAAGAGGCAGGCTGCAAGTTTCCCAGTTAATAAACAGCCGCAACTTATTTGTAAATAATGTCATCAAACTCCTTATGATATTATTTTCATAGATGTAATAGCAACCTTTAGCCCAATCTTTGTTAAAAGGTTACAAATTCTAGATCAAAGGGGTCTGGATGAATGAGAACAATATTACATCACATTCCAAAAGAGTCTTGCCTTGAGACCTTAAAAATGACCTCTTTTCACTGGATATATCATCTTAACACTTTAGCAGGCTACATGTTTCCTAATTTTGTACACAGAAAGCAGGGAGTTTGCATGGAAAATCTTCCACTAGGGAAATGACCCCATCAGTATGAAACCGAGCTAACATGTTGAATTTGGGGGTCTAGGGTCAAAGGTTGGGAGAAAAGGGGGTAGTTGGAGGAAGGAAAGGAGAGAGGGGGTGAGGAAGGTGATGAATGAGGGAAGACTGATTTGTTTTATAAATTTTAATATGATTTTTGCTCTAAAGTTTTTGATCATTTCATTTAAAAGGTAAATAAAACATTCAACAAAAAAAGTCTTTCTCTGACTTACTACGTCTTTTATAAAACATCAGCTGAATGCCCTGGGTTAAGCTTTGTTTACCCTTACAGCGAACTTTATCTTCTAGGCTGGTTGTTGGACCAAAACGTGTTTGCCAGAAAGTCAACTTCATTTTGATAATGAAGATGAAAGTTTGCAAATTCAGGTTCACTTTCCTGAAGTACACTAACTGTTGTTTGCCTGTATTCGTGTCAAGTGTCTCCTGCAGGTGAGTCTGGAGAGGATGTGATTACTGAAGGACAACCAGAATTTACCCATGGACTGCAGCCTGTGCCGACAGCCAGTTTGGACAATTTCAGCATAGAATTGAACCTAGGTAGCCTCAAAGATTGGAGAAGGCAATGGCACCCCACTCCAGTACTCTTGCCTGGAGAATCCCAGGGCCCCAACCCTGGTGGGGTCGCACAGAGTGGACACAACTGAAGCGACTTTGCAGCAGCATCAGCAGCCTGATAGTGCCTAAGGGAACCCTGAAAGGTGAGCATGTTCAGTCAGGTTCACACAGGCAAACAGCCTGGGGTTGAGGCCAACTCTGTCCCCTGAAACACTCCAGAGAACGCAGGAGGAGAAATGGTCATTTCCTGGGATGGTAACACGTCATAAAATATCAATGCGTTTGTAAACTGAAAAGGAGGCCTTTATCAATGTCCTCTCAATTTTTCTACCTGTTGGATGCATCAAGGACTGAATGGACGTGAGTCTGAGCAAACAGCGGAGAGACAGCGGAGGACAGCGCGCGTGCTGCAGGCCGCAGGGCCGGGAAAGGTCGGACACCTCTGAGTGACCACCGCCACCGCCAGCCCTCACGCTCTCGCAAAACTTCGTCTAGTTATTTTCGATTTGGGAAAAAAAAAAAATCAGTCTTGAATATGCGCCCCCCACCTCCCCAAATGAAGAGGTCCACCAGACACCCGGATGATCACAGCCCGTGCGTGTCGGGGTTTGGCTGGAACTCGACCTGAACCGTCCGGCTGTGTCCCGGAGGCTCCGGGAGGGGCCGGCCCGCGCTTACCTTGCAGCCTTCGCACGTGATGCAGCGATAGTGGTACCCCGTGGCTTTGTCACCGCACACGACGCAGAGCTCGTCCTTGTCTAAGTAGCTGGGGATGTAGCCTGTGCGGAGGACAGAGGAGGCGGTGAGAAAGCGTCACGTTCACGTCGAAGACGCCGCAGCCAGGAGGGGCGCACGGCGGGAGGGCGGGTGAGGGNTCAGTCCTTCCAGTGAATATTCAGGACTGATTTCCTTTAGGATTGACTGGCTGGGTCTCCTTGCAGTCCAAGGGACTCTCAAGACATGTGTATACCTGTGGCTGATTCACGTTGATGTATGGCAGAAACCGACACAATATTGTAAAGCAATTATCCTCCAATTAATTATAAATAAAATTTAAAAAGTCTTTCCCTGACAATACACTTCCTCAGTATCTTCTCTCTATCTAGGATCTTAGCACACACTTACAGAGTTAATAATCAGGCCCAGGATTTCGGAATGCCTTGGAAACAGCTGTGCACACTTGCTATGCAGGCAGGAATGGGTCCAGAGGCTCTTGGAGCCAATGGGTGAAGCAGAGAGACTGGGATTTTATTTTAAAATACTTATCATAAATGAATTTATCATTTTTGTTATATGTAACATTATGAGTAATTATTAAAAAGAAATCATAAGGTCTTTTTAGAGCTACCTGTTCTTTGCTCCTGAAAGGATTTGTTCCCATGATCACACCCCAATCACAATTTAGATTACAGAGCTGGGGAAACACTTTGCTTACTCATCCTAATGCTGTAAGACAATAGGCTCTTTGGGTAAACAATGGGTTTCCCACCCTGACTAGACTTTAGAATTGTCCTGCTTAAAAGTATTGACTTACGGGAAATTCCATGGCAGTCCAGTGGTTAGGACCCTGCACTTTCACTGGTGAGGGCCCAGGTTCAATCCCTGGTCAGGGAACTAAGATCCCACACACCACATGGTGCAGTCAAAATAAAAAAGAAAATTGAATCTTGGGATCAACCATTTAAAAATACTGACTCTGAGACCAGCCCCCTGAGAATCTTATTTCACTGGTCTTAGGGTGTAGAAACATAGGCATGGAATTACCTAAACATTCTCTGGGTGATTCTAACGTACATCTAGAATTGAGACCCCCTGGGCTGGGTTTGTACGGAGGGATCCAGAGAGGCCAGGATGTGAGACACCTGGGGTGCTGTGGATCACAGTCTCTTTTGAAAGACTTATTTCTGAACCTGTGCTTAGGGGACTTGATCCCTTTGCAATCTAGGTACCATGCAATAAATTCAGAAAACTATAGCTGGAAAGGCCCTGGGAGAGCAAATAATTTTGAGATGAACCAGCGTTCATCAGTTTGACCTTCCTCAGGCTCAAACCAGAAATTAACTGCAGAGAAGAAAGCCGAGATCTTGACTTCCAGCCCTCCAGTATTTAAGTTGTGTTGGTCTTTTTCTAAAAACAACTTCAAAAGTAGAATGAATAAGGCCATCTTTAAAAAAAAAAAAAGGTTCTGCAGGGCTTTCCTGGTGACTCAGTGATAAAGAATGGAGACAGCTGCCAATGTAGGCGACACAGGCTCGATCCCTGGTTCGGGATGACCCCACATGCTGGGGAGTAACTAAGCTCGTCACCACAGCTGCTGAGCTTGTGTACGCTGCAGCCGTGCTCTGCAACAAGAGAAGCCACCACGAAGACAAGCCCGCACGTTGTAACTGGAGAGAAGCCCCCGCTCACCGCAACTGCAGAAAGCCTGCACTGCAATGAAACGCCCAGCACAGCCAAAAATGAAAGTGAACAAACAAATAAATCTTACAAAAAGGTTCTGCAAACTTGTGATGTGATTACACAGCTCAACAACTGGGTGGTTGTCGTTCAGTCGCTCAGTCGTGTCCGACTCCCTGCGACCCCATGGACTGCAGCACGCCAGGCCTCCCTGTCCATCACCATCTCCCAGAGATTACTCAAACTCATGTACAGTGAGTCAGTAATGCCATCCAACCAACTCATCCTCTGTCATCCCCTTCTCCTCCTGCCTTTAATCTTTCCCAGCATCAGGGTCTCTTCCAATGAGTCGGTTCTTTGCATCAGGTGGCCCAAGTATTGGACTTTCAGCTTCAGCATCAGTCCTTCCAATGAATATTCAGGACTGATCTCCTTTAGGATGGACTGGCTGGATCTCCTTGCAGTCCAAGGGACTCTCCAAAATCTTCTCCAACACCACAGCTCAAAAGCATCAGTTCTTTGGTGCTCAGCCTTCTTTATGGTCCAACTCTCACATCTGTACATGACTACTGGAAACACCATAGCTTTCACTAGATGGACCTTTGTTGGCAAAGTGATGTCTCTGCTTTTTAATACATTGTCTAGGTTTGTCACAGCTTTTCTTCCAAGGAGCAAGCATCTTTTAATTTCATGGCTGCAGTGAATAGTGGTTCTGCTTATTAAGAAATAAATCCAACCATGACAACTCCTATTACTGCACTCTGAGCTTATTAAATTCCATGACCCAGGAAATTAAAGACAAACAGAAGCTATGTACTTCCCACCCATGTCTGCCTCTTTCCTTTCCTTGTACACAATGTCCAAATATAAGAAACGCTTCAGAGGGCAAATCCAGTTTCATAGGTACCAGAGGTTTACCATAGAAGCACGGGGCTTCAGGGAAAACCGAAAAGGCCTGATTTGTTAGGATGTGGAGAGGCTGAGAAAACAAAATCATTCTTTCTCTTTATCATGGTCTTAATGAAGTTCTTTGACTCAGGAAACCCTTACTGGTTCCAAAAAAGATCAGCCAGGTTGAAACGACAGATGACTTACTATATGTTTTATCATGACATTTTCATAAATCTTTCATTGAACTGGGTCACTGAGGGCTTACTTTTCAGAAAAAAGCCTTTGAGAAAACAGAAGAAAATGAACCCTTTTCATAATCACTGTGCTCAGATTTTATTTTAGAAGAATATCCCTTTTGGGAGGGAGAGAAATGAGTTCAAAGCAAGATTTGGTAATGCACAGGATTATCTTTTTAAATATCACAGCTTTTCTTAGTTTACTTTTGCATCATGCAAACATGAATCATCTGTTGAGTTCACTTCAAATGTTTCAAAATTCTCATCAGACATTTAAAAAAAAGAGAATTCTGGGAGGGATCTGGGCAGAGAAAAAGGGGAACTGGAGAGATTTGTGTGTTCATCCAATCAGTCGTCTATTCATGAATTTAGAAACATTTATTTTTTAGCATCTACCACTGTGCTCAGGCTTCCCTGGTGGATCAGATGGTAAAGAATCCGCCTGCAATGCAGGAGACCTGGGTTTGACCCCTGGGTTGAGAAGATCTCCTGAGAAGAGAATGGCCACCCACTCCAGTATTCTTTGCTGAAATACTCCACGGACAGAGGAGCTTGGCGGGCTACAGTCCACAGGGTCGGAAGAGTTGGACACCACTGAGCGACTAACATGGTGCTTAGTGCTTGTAATATAAAAACAAGTAAGACACGGTTTCTTCCTTGCGCAAGCATAGTGTAAGCAACCGAGTTCTGTATTTCCAGTCCTGGTTATTTCTCAATGAGAGAAAAAGGTGAAAATGAAGGGAAAAAACATGAAAAGATGCTCAATATCATTGCAAGGAAATGCAAATCAGGATCATACTGAAATGCTGCTTAACACCCTCTAGGTTGGTTATGATAAAATGGCAGATAATAACACATGTTGGTGAGGATATGGAGAAATCAGAGCACTCATATATTGCTGGCAAGAATACGAAATGTGCTTTGGAAAAGCACTTGGGCAGTTTGGCACTTTGCAGTTCCTCAAAAGGTTAAACACAAAGTGACATATGACCCAGCAATTCTACTCTGAAATATACACTTAAGAGAACTGAAAATATGTGTCTGTACAGAAACTTGTCCAAAGCAGCACTATTCGCAATATTCAGAAGGTAGAAACCACCCAAATGTCCATCAAATGATGAATGGGTAGTCAAAATATAGTATATTTGTACAATGGAATACTATTCAGTCATGAAAAGGAAGTAAGTACCATGCTACAACATGGAAGAATCTGGAAAGCATACCATGAAAGAAGCCAGATACGAAGCCAGATACGAAATGCCACGTATCGTATACCTCTATTTCTGTGAAATATCTAGATTAGGCAAATTCATAAAGACAGAAATTAGATTAGTGGTTGCCAATGTCTGCAGGAAGGGGAGAATGGACGATGACCACTGAAGGATACAAAGTTTCTTTCCAAGGTAATGAAAATGTTTTGGAATTGTGTTGTGTTGATAGCTGCACAACTCTGTGAATATACTAAAAACCACTGGGTGAAAAACTGTTGTTTTGGGGACTTCCCTGGTCACGACTCTGCACTTCCACTGCAGGGGGCTGGGGTTCGGTCCCTGGTTCACAAACCAAGATCTCACATGCTGCATGGTGCAACTACAACATCAAAGAATAAAAATAAATGGAATTAAAAAAGAAAACCATTGTTTTGTATGGACATATTTTGTATAAATCTGTGAATTTTATAGTATGTGAAATATGTCTCAATAAAGCTCCTATTAGGAAACAAAGAAACCAGGAGAGAAAAGAGGTTCCATTCAACAAACATATATATGAGAGGATTCCATGCCAGGCAACGTGCCAAGGAGCTGAAGACAACCGAGTCTTAATTCTTGGGGCAGCTTCAAGTGTTTTGGGGGAAGCAGACAATCATGGACCATCTGCATACGACGTGGTCGGGGCTGGGGTAAGTCTCCGAGTGGCCATCCTGCCCACCGTGGCCCGAGTCCGGGACAGGCGCTGTCATTCCTCCCCGTGTTTGTCAGTGGCCGCCCTCAGCCCCTGCAGCTAACAGGGGTGAGCTTTCTCCTCCTTAGACGTGATCTCTGGTTCACTGTAAGTGTTAGGGTTCCAGCGAGAGGGCAGGGACCATACGTCCATGCTGAAACCCTGGTGTCTGCCCCTAGTTCCTCTGACGGACAGCATCACAGTTTCTCCAGATCACTGCTGCCAGCCCTCCAGAGGGGAAGACACAGGGAGGAGGCCGGTATCTGGCACGTGTAGACGGGCAGGCTGGCAGGCTGGAGCGGTGCCCGAGAGGC